AGTTTTCTGTAAACTTCCACAAGTGATCTATTGTTAATTCAAATATCAGCCCCAAATGATGGCAGAAATCCTATTTGTGAAGATAGTTTGCCCAGAAGGTTCTCTGGGGAAACTGTTTTAGAATTTTAGGCAAGTTTCTTAGGCAGTGTAAAGACTCTCCCAGACTTCCCAAGTCTCATTGTGTGAGCTCTCGGCTTCACAGAGAATTCACTGCAGACGGGTAGCAGCTGGTCCCTCCTTCAGGCAACACCTTTTTTTTCATTGTCATCTCTTTACAGCCTTTAAAAAAGTCAACAGTGTCATCTTTTATTTTTAACATGAGACATTCATTGCATAGATCTAGATTTGCTAAGGGACCATTTTCTGACTAAAAAATGCTGTAAAAGACCCTCTGTGATTCCTGCACCCTACTTTTTCACCTTCACGTTGCCTTCTTCCACACTGTACTCTCGCACTTATATTATTCCCGTGGTCTAGGATGCATTTGCCTTCATTGCTCTCCATCAAAATCATTTATTTATTGTCTGTTTTCTTTGGTTCAGATACTAGACCAGTGCTGTTCCAGACCAATTACATCAGAGCTTAAGCCACAACTTCTTAATAGGAAAATTTTCAAACATACAGCAAAGTTCAAAGGATTTTATAGTGAATAGCTGTAAAACCACCATCTAGATCAGGGTGGGCAAACTTTTTGACTCGAGGGCCACAATGGGTTCTTAAACTGAACCGGAGGGCCAGAACAAAAGCATGGATGGAGTGTTTGTGTGAACTAATATAAATTCAAAGTAAACATCATTACATAAAAGGGTACAGTCTTTTTTTTTTTTTTTTAGTTTTATTCATTTCAAATGGGCCGGATCCGGCCCGCCGGCCGTAGTTTGCCCACGGCTGATCTAGATTCTTCTACCATAAACATTTTCATATACTTGTTTTATCACATCCATTATATATTATATATTGACATGTATAGTATAGCCCATCCCTAAGTTCATCCATTAATCAATTTTATTTTTAAAAATGCATTTCAAAGTAAATTGCAGATATTAGTATACTTCCCCTTAAGTACTTCAGCTGGTGCTTTAAGAAGCTCATAGGGATTCTAATAGTCGAGAGTCAAAGACCACTAGTTTGACCTATTTATTACCCTACTCTTAATACCATCTCTTCTTATGAAGCCTCATTGATTACCTTAATTCAATATAGGTATTCCTTCCTGTGTCTTCTGACATTTTATCGCTTGTACTGTTCTATGGCACTCTTTTAAATGGCCTGGCATTGTGGTTTTCTAGGTCCTGTCTATCCTGCTTTCTAGACTGTGAGAACCTCTAGAGTTGGGATCATGTCTTTTTCATTTATTTGTCTCCAAATCTCTGGTTTCTGGCATAGCACCTTACATGTAAGTACTTAGTAAAAAGTTATTGATTTGAGTTGTACTTGAATGAGGAACCTGCAACTACAGCAAAAGGTGTATATAACTTTCATGTGGATTTGTATATCTTCTTTGGTGCTTATTAGCTCCTGGAAGAAATTTGGGAACTATCAATCAAGTCCAGCCCAAACATGTTTATATATTTCTATATTTGCTATTGGCTAGATGTGACCAACCTAAACTTAAATCAGAAGTAGAAGTCAGGTCAGAAAAGGGACAAAGAGGCTAGAATACCTCAAATATAGTTGGAAAATCCTTTGGCGGAGAGTCTGAAGACATGGATTCTAATCCCCACCTTTATTTATTTATTTAAAAAAATATTTGTATTGATTTCAGAGAGGAAGGGAGAGAGAGAGAAACATCAATGACGAGAGAAAAATCATTGATCGGCTGCCACCTGCATGCCTTCGCAGTAGGGACTGAACCCGCAACCTGGGCATGTGCCCTGACCGGGAATTGAACCGTGACCTCATGGTTCATAGGTTGATGCTCAACCACAGAGCCATGCCAGCTGGGTGAAAGATGATTTCAGGTATCTAAAGTTCTGTCTGGGGAAGAGGCAATAATCTTTTCTGAATAGCCCTAAGAGATGGTATTTAGGACTAATAGGTGGAAGTAGTTTTTGTTTGTTTATTTACTTGTTTATTTGTTCACTTGTTCTTTTATTTGTTCAACAAGTCTTTATTCATTACCTATTCTTTGCCAGGCCTGGGGTTGGGGATTGAGAAGTAAACAAGACTGGATTTTGTTTTGGGGGTGTTCATAGTCTGGCAGGGGAGAGGAATGAAAGGGGAGGCAAATGTGTAAACAAGTAATTGCCATGCAGTGTGAGGTAGGCAGAACTTAATATAAGTGAGAATTCGCTAAGTGAGGTGGCCAAAGATAGAATAGGCTGACTTTTGAGACTGTAGATTTTTTTTTTTTATCACTGGAGGTTTTCAACCATAGGCAGGAGACCTAGGCTGGAATATGGTGCAGTGAATTCAAACATTGTATTTCAAAAGCAGATTTTATGTTTTAAGTAACTTGGGCTCTTTTTGAAAGTGGAGCTCTACCACCAAGAATTCCCCAGGCGCAGTGAAAGAACTGAGAAATGAAGAAAAGCTGTATGTATCAGAAAGGCTGATGAAGCCTTTTTTGGCACAGTCCTGGGCTGTGGTCATAAAAGGGAGTTACAGTCAATGAAGTTGTTGGCTGAAGAGGCAAGGAAGGGCCTGCTTAGAGTATCAGGTGGCCGCAGGGAGTATAATTTTGGAACTGGCAGTTCGCAGTGGGAAAGTGTACTTGAGAACTGAGCCGGTAGAAGCTCTCTTTGGCGGTGCTGAGGGACCTGGGTTGGGGCTGGTAGGGAAAAGCAAGAGCAGAGCTTCAAAGTGCAATTGGAAGAAATGGATAAAAAGCACACCACCCAGAGAGTTAGTCTAGACAAGATTGTCTTTACTTACTTGATTTATTTTGTTTCAAAAAAGAAGTAAGGAGCAATTGGTGTGCCAGAGGAAGGTCAGGATGAATTGTATAAAAAGATGGAGTTCGAATTTGACCTGGAAAGATGAGTAGGAGACATCATTGACCAGAAGCACTGGGGAGTCAGGAGGGGGTAAGAGACTATTTGGCAAATTCGGGAGAACAGAGATTTCTGAGGTATAGTTTGAATGTAAGTTGGGTCCAGGTGTGGTGGCTTAGTGTATAAGGTAGGCCCATGTCAGATTGGGAAGAACCTTAAAACTTCATCTGTATTAAGTTCCTTAATGGCAAGGCATATATCCCTGTGTAAACTTTTTTTTAAAATATATTTTATTGATTTTTTACAGAGAGGAGGGGAGAGGGATAGAGAGTTAGAAACATCGATCAGCTGCCTCCTGCACGCCCCCTACTGGGGATGTGCCCGCAACCAAGGTACATGCCCTTGACCGGAATCGAACCTGGGACCCTTGAGTCCGCAGACCGACGCTCTATCCACTGAGCCAAACCAGTCAGGGCCCTGTGTAAACTTTTGATTAATTAAAAAATTTATTGAATCTACTATAAGTCAGATACTCTACTAGGTACTTTTGGATTGTAAAGGTGACAAAATAGAGCACAACCTTTGGGGAACACTTGCTTCTGGTGAAAACAATTATAATCTAGTAAAAATAAATGTAATAACCTAGAAATATACCATTGCCCTGGGTCTGGTGGAGACATCTAACTGCTTAAAGGTGAGAACAGTTCCAAAGGGCACATGGAGAAAGGATTGGGGGGTGGGGGAGGGAGGGATGAATGCAGGGCATCATTTAGTTTTGCATTTATTAGAAAATGTTAAAAAGACTCCTATAGATTTTGTTTATACCATTTAAGCAATTGATATGTAAGGCAGTGGTATTCAAATCTGGCTGGTATTAAGATCACTAGTTTTTTAAATTACAGAATTTGGCCTTAGCCCAGCCATACAAAATCAAAATTTATGAGAGTTAAACCATGCATCTCTATTTTCTAAAAAGCTCTGGGTAATTATTATGCTGATTTTTTTTATTAGAAACTTTAGTCTTTAAAACACTGTTGTGTTTGACTCCAAGGAGCTTACATTCTAAGTAGTCATGGTTAAAGATATAATATCCTCTGTAGCATGGAAGAATAATGAGAAACTTTATTAATTCTGGAAACATATCTATCCATTGACACTTATTTGAGGTAATAACATCTATCTTCATTAAAACTGTTGCTACCATGTAATAGGAGATTTTACCTCTTTCCCCCCCTTTTTTATTCTTTATATTTTCCAGAAGCATTGGAGATTGCCAATAAATCCAGCATCATATAGGATAGGATGGGTACTTCATTGACCATCGTATATTTAGAATAAGGTCAAATTTTAGAGGAAGGTGATAGTGCAGAGGTGATATAGGCCAGGTGTCCGCAAACTTTTCCTGTAAAGAACTAGATTGTAAATATTTTTAGGTTTGTGGGCATACAGTCTCTGTTGCAACCACTCAGTCCTGCCATTGGAATGCGAAAGAAGCCATAGACCTTTGTAAATGAATGGGTGTTGCTATGTTTCAATAAAACTATTTACAAAGCCTGCAGCTTTACAGACCCTTGATAGAGTGATATAGTCCATTCCAGAGAGGGAATGTTACAAAATCAGAGATAGGCAGAAAATTCACTGTGTGGAATGCTAGTAGCAGTTTTATTTAATCTTCAGGTGAATGAATAAATGGCACACAATGATTAAAGAATTTTTCTAAAGCTAATAAGTGGCACTGGGATTCATACTTAGTTCAGCTGGGCTAAATTTCTATCTTTTAAACTACATCATCATGGTTTTCTGTGTTCTCCAAAGCCTCAGATAGGGGAATGCAGAGAAAAAGCAAGAACCTTGTGAATTTTTAGCAGTGCTTGTCACAGAGTAGGCATTGTATCTTTGAGTACTGTTGACTGAATATGATAGTGGTAGTCGTGGTATGCAGAGAAGGGCTTCAACAGGGCCCTGGAGGAAGGATTGTATAATTTGGATTCTTTTAAACTTTTCAACACATTTCTTTTTGTTCAGAAATAATAAAAATGCTATGTTCTTTTTTTCTGATTCCAGTAGCTGCTGGTGGTGGTGACAATGTCAAATAACGGCCTGGACATTCAAGATAAACCCCCAGCCCCTCCAATGAGAAACACCAGCACTATGATTGGAGCTGGTAGCAAAGACGCCGGAACCCTAAACCACGGCTCCAAACCTCTGCCTCCAAATCCAGAGGAGAAGAAAAAGAAGGACCGGTTTTACAGATCCATCCTACCTGGAGATAAAAGTACGGTATTTCACTTCTTTCTCATAATTTATATACTTATTTATTTTTTTTTTTGGTAACCTGGATAAGAGATTTGTTCTTTCCTCGACTTCATTTTCCTTTAATACCTCCTTCCACCCTATTAAATATTTCTCTTGTCTTTTTTGCCTGAAGTGGCTGGAGTCAAATGGAAAATAGACCTATTAAACTCTTACTAGTATTAATTATTCTGAGCAAAATTCTAAGAAAATAATTATGCTCTTCCCAGACTTTGGACAATCTGTACATGTTTATTTACTTAAACTGTTAATGAACTCTCAGAATGTAAGAAATATTGACAGGTGTTCATTTGGGAGTGTTTTGTTTCCAGACTAGTTTTATGTGGAATGTCTTTTCTCCAGATTCTTGATTGCCTCTTTTTCACTCATATATCTTGAGCTCACACTTAGATTTGGGGATTAAATATCAGTAAGAAGGGCAAGTAGTAGCTGAGGAAAGGAAGCTTGGAAAAGGAAGCAGGACTCAGCAGGAGTTCACTCTGAAAAAGTCGTACCAGCTGGACTCATTTCCTTTTTGTTGACAAAACTTCTAGAAGAATAACCAGGATTTTAACAGTGTATTTGATAAAGTCACTGAAATCCTATGGACAATAGTGAAATAGAGGTTTGGGTGTCCACATGGGTAGATGACCTTTGTTTGACACCCTCAGCTCCAAATATTTATTTAAGGGCTGTTGCTAT